AAATAATAAATATAATAAATGTTCTTGTAGAAAATTTTCTAATATTATTAAGTTCAATCTTAGGGATATTTTTGTTGGACAGGTTTTAATTAGATGAACAATCCTATTAATCAGTTGAACGTTTCGTCCTTATATTTGGGGAACTTCCTCAGCAAGTAAAATTATTATTATGACAAATACAAAAATAACTTACAATTAGTTATAATTAACATTTAATATATTTATATAATATTTTTAATATATGAAATATATTAATCACAGTTAAGTATTTTTATATATTTTACATTAATTGCAATTGTATTATTTCATTGCTTATTTTTTTTCCTTTTAATTGAACAATATTTCACGTTTAATCTAATGTTTTATTTGTTTATATATATGAGAAATAGAAAAAAGAAAAACAATTGGTTACGCGATTATTATTATTGCGTAAGAAACAATTGGATGAGAATATAAACGGTTCGCAATGGTTAAATTTCGCAAACAGAAATGCAACGAACATCTGTTGATAGAAACAATTTTTACTGATCGTATTATACGATCGGTATTTTCTAGCCGGTATATTTTCTATCTCCAGAATCAGGCAGCCAAGCAAGCAAGCAAGCAAGCAGGCAGACAGGCATGTAAGAAAAGAGCCATTTATTCTATCGATTTTCTCGACGATTCCAAAACATCATTCTACCACCTGCTATACACGCTTTTTATACCGACAAGTTTATCGACAAGTAAATCTCCTTGATTCTCTCTTTAAAGGATTTATATCAAATGTATGAGAACCGTCTGTGTATGCTAGTGTATGTATGTAAATGTATGATAAGAAAACACAATAATAAATTTTAATATTTAAATCAATAAAAAAAAAATAAAAAAAAATACTCTATAAATAATTCGAAATATATTCTATACATGTTTTCTAACTTTTATAATCAGAATATTATTATTTTTTCATATATCATAGATAACAAATATATAAATTCTATATACAAACAAAATAATATAATATAATAATATAATTAATTAAAAATAATATATATAACATATATCAAATTATAATTATTATTATTATTTCTATATGAAGATTATATTAAAATAGATAAAAAATATTTGTAAGTAAGATAAAAATTGAAGTTAAAAAAGATCAATTGTTTTCACAGTTGTTACCACACGATGAAAAGCAACAAGAGAGTATTTCAAGAGCAAACTTTCGATAAACTCGCTTCGTATAATCTTAAACATACTTATATACATGTATATATATATTATACAAACACACACACTTTTGTATATAGGCATGTTCCAAAAGGAGACACTCGAAATTCGATTTTCTCTCAACGTTTTCGGATTAACAGCAAGTCGATCTTGAACGTCGAAGTTTCAACGGTCTGTTATTATCTTCGCATCAGTGCTTCTTCCAAAGATGATAACGTTCCGGAAGCTCTGCTATCCTAAACTCTCTCTCTCTCTCTCTCTCTTTCTCTTGTGCTTTTCCTTTCTTTGTATCAACGAAAGGAAGCACTTCTCGTGACGAAAATTACTCGTTGGTTACGCGAGCGCACGAGTGGGTTGATGGAAACGGGGGTTGGTGGGGTTGGTTCGGGTCGAGCTTTAAAAGAAAAGCTTTTCAACCTAAGGGAGAAAGTTATCTTACCCTCTCTCTTTGTCTCTCTTTCTCTTTCTTTATTTTTCTGCACCCTTTTAGACAGACGACTCTAACTTTCTTACCAAACTTTAAACTAATACTCTTCTTCTTTTTTTTCTTTTTCTATTTTTAAGTTTCGCTACTCGACTAAATGATGCGACGAGAGACGTCGAACGAAAGATTCGCGTTTAAATTGAATTTTGATCGATCGAAAATTTTATCCAATAATTTACGAGATTGATCTTATATATATATATATATATAAAAAATATAAAAATATAATATAAATATACAAATATATAATATAAAAATAT